GTCTGATTGAACAATGATAGAGACATTTTTTTATGACCTTATCTAGCTTAACATGATCCCACAGTTCGTGTCCGCGAATTTCGTAACACCCTGTATATGTCAAAATTAACACAAAACGTGTAGATCATCAATAAATTGAAGATGACCCACCCTGTGACAGTAGATCTGTAAAAATAACCACTTTCATCCCCCACCTCTTTGTCTGTTATTGCTTAATATACAATTAAAACAATCTTTAATAATTTTTGGGTATAAACATAGTAGGAAATAAACAAATGAATTATAATTTAATTTTGCAAATCATAAAACATTTATTGTATTGAATTCATTGATTTGTCAGTGCATACTAGATTTATGTCAATCTCTAGATGTAAATTATTATCAATTCTAATACAGAGAAGAGTTTGTAAAAATAACAAAATCTGTTTTTGTTATTTTGTTTGGATATCTGACCGTAGTTTTCTATTAGGATCAACTTTTCTTAATAACGATTGTCGATATTGTAAAAAATAAACGTACTTTACTCTTGACCAAAATTTACATTTTTCTAGAAACCTCGTATACCTACGACTGCAAAAAACTGAAATCTTATTACTTCAGTTTGGGTTTTAGGCCATGCAGAACTTTTTATTGAGAATAACTTTTTTTCATAAAACCAATAATAAAAAAGTTTCTCATATGGTGCCGACTTAATTGGATACACTGTAGAAACTCAAATCAGAAAAAAAGGATTTTCTCATTGCTCGCTGTATAAAGATCTAATTTGTTTCTCTTCGAAAATGTAAATTTTGAGATTGTAGTATGAAAGAGTGATAAGTAAAATAATTGTTGCTATCTAAAAACTTTCAAGTAAAATAGAAAAATGTATCATATAACAATTATTGCGAACAATAAATCATCTAAGGAAGCTGTGATGTTAATCTTCAGATATATGTTTTTTGAAACGCTCAAGGGTGATAGATACTCATGTATTAAAAAAAACAGATATTTATTGTTACAGTGCTACATACCAACGAATATACCTGATATGTAATGCATAGTGACGAATATAAATTAACTTGTAGACAACACCTGAAATAATCATCTTTTGTGCTTAGAAATATCCATACGTCGAGGTGAATATCATAGCTTTCCTTGATTTGTTTGATAATACATGATTATATATTTTTCAATTTTACTAAGAAACCATGTTCATTAGCAAAATTTTTCAGGAGCAATAATTTTTTCAACGATGATCACTCTTTCATGTTCGAAACTTATTTTTCCAAAAACCAAAAAAATTGTTGTATCAGTATACTTTTAGATAATTTAGTATCGACAATGCAACTAGTTTACAAGACACTAATAAAGTCCATAGCAAATAAGCCATCTTCAATTCTTTTTATCTTCATAATCAGTCAGAATTGACGCTTGGTTGATTTAAACTTGTTTTAACCAAGTAATAATTTGTAGAAGATTGGCAGTCGAAATGACACTTTGTATAATGCTTGCTCGCTAAGTAACTAATATCGTTGAGACTAACTCTTACTCCCTTTTCCAAACACTCAACTATTTTGATGGATCATTTGACAATTCAGAGCGGTCTAACAATAAATTCTAATAAACTCAATTGTAAAATGGAATAAAGTAAGTTTAATGAGGAATCGTTAAAAGCAATTTAATTACTTTTAGCATTCCTATCAAGTATGCATAGGACACCTACCGAGGCATTGCGGCATAGATTTCGTATATTCCATTTCATGAACTGGCGGTGTACAAAGGAAAACAGGGATAACAAACCGCGTGCAACTAATTGTAACATGCTGCGGACGTAAATTATTAACAATCGTTTTCAAAGCTAAACACCCAATGTTTGTGGGCATCTGGTCCAGATGGAAATTCTCAAAGCTAAATGATGCCGTTGCAAACGCAGAGCAAGATTGTTTGTGTGCTCATTAGCGGAGCTGAGGTTCAATTAATATGCAAATAATGTGCAGTGTAAACCGCATACAGAATGACGCTATAAACAAACAAAAGTAGAACTGTTGAATTGCTGAAACCTTCTTCCCACACGTGCCTGAAAATATTTTCGAAGTGAAACGAATATCGGATTAAGGCCATATATCTCTTATTTTAAAGCATTATACGATCTGCAATTAGGTTCCCAAAGCGCGTTAGTTGGATTTAAGCATCTTCTTTACGAAATACGTCTTACTTATCTAAATGTGAAGTCTCTAGAGACTAGAAGAATGCTTGGAGACATCATAATGACATAGAGGTTCTCCACGATAAATTCATAAAATCTTCGTCCGCAACAGGGATATGATACTACAAGGCCATGATTTAAAATTAAAGGAACATTTGTACGCTCGCACAAGACACTATTTCCTGCCATATGGTGTGTTTAATATATGGAACTCATTGGTGATGAACAATGTGATAATAGCTCCTGTGAACAATTTCAAATCAAGACTTGATCATTATCTAAACTTGGCCCATACTTAATTTTTTTAATAGTTATTTTTACACTTGTTTCATTTACCTGTATGCAGTTTCCACTCTAGCCACCAATGTAATAATAATAATAATAATAATTAATAATAATAATAATAATAATGTAGATGTCAGTAATTGTTTTTGTATTTTCTCTATAAAACTAGTAGATCTGTAAAGTATAAATCACTGCCAATCATGATGTTTTGGATACATTTATGTAAAATATGCTTGTAATTATTTTTCCAAAACAATTATGATTGATATAAAGATATAAGAAAACAAGTCTAGTATTTCTTGATTTCTAAATGTTTTAGTATACAGCTTTAAAAATATCGATTATAAGCTTGTGTCATCTATTTATTAGGGGGGCCCAAAAATGAATGTTCCTGTTAGTGCTATCGTGCTAAATCTAGTAGTTTCAAGTTTCTTTTGGTACCGTAGTACTTCCCTGACTGATTAGTACCTTGCAGCAGCCGACATTCGCATTATCTGCTGTGTTTGCGCTAAGTCTTGGTTGAGACACTATGTCAAGTAGTCGTTGGTCTCATTCGAATTATACCAGTGACCAATAACTTCACTACCTTGTTGGTAAAATGGTAAATATGTATTAATTTCTTACAAATTATCATTTACTTTTTGTTTCGTAATAATCAGTCGTATTCTGCTCTTTTGTCATGAGCCGATATTTAGGGTAGCAATATTGTTAAACTTATAACAACATTGCTAGCAAAAATGATATTCTGATCAGGTCTGTATAAGGATAATCTTAATCTTATACGGGCGAACAATCATTGCTAACCAGACATCTGAAGTTGGCTGGATGAAACGTGTAATGTTGTCTTAAATGTCATCAAAACAAAGAAAACATATATTTTTTCTATGGTACACTAATTCTACTTCTAAAAACACATTACAGTAATTAAGTAAATATAGTTATATAATAACTATGTAGTATCAGTACGGTATAATACTCGTATAATGATATTCCAATTTATTTCGACCATTAATTAAGCAAACAGTGGCGTTTCCTCATTATTAATAGAGAACGCGACATCATAACCATAACCTTACTTTTTATTTTGTCTTAGTTTTATGTACAAAATTGTAGATAGAAGTACATTTTCCTTTATATTTGTTTAAGTTAGTTAATAAGATGCATAACAAAAAAGAAATTAAAAAACAACTGGGGAACAAATGATAATTACAATATATATTAAGATAAACAAAATTTTAATAGCTGGCAAATGCCACACTCTCAAAGCCAAGGAATTAGAAGAAAAAAATGAAACTGAGTCGATTCGTTTCGGTCTGTGATCCTCAAACTGTTATTTAATTTAAATAACTTTACATTAAAATATGGGAGTTCAAATGAAATAGAGGCATCTCTCAAATTTCTCCGGTATAATTTCAGTATTTGTCTGTGAAAAAAAATGAAAGATATGTATCTATATATGAACATGACATAAGTACTTACTGTTTACTGATATTTTCAAAATTATCAATAAAATTACAATAAAATTAAATGATACAGGATCTATTTTCCTCATTTGGCAATTCATATTCTTAGCAACACTTTAACAACCACTCAAATCTTGTTGCTATCATAACAATAATCTTTAACAACATATCTTTAACAAGATTGTTAAAACTTGCTAACAGAATACAGATTGTAAAAATCATTGTTAGGTTCAACGTCAATATTTGAGATAGCAATGAATATTATTAAATGAAATATTTTACTAACGCAATACGGCTGATATCTGCTTTCATGGATCATTTTATCATCTGTTGTTTTGTTTTATAGATAGGTACCTACCTTAAATAATATTTTGAAAATTTAGTGTTACCTACACCCTTTACTGGTACCAAAAGTCCACTTGACATCACGCTGAAAGAGTTACTAGCATTTTCGCGGACCCTTGCATCTGTTTTTTTTTTCTCGCAAAATCTATAACTCCTAGGTATAGGGAATATTTAATAAAGCGACCCTCAAATTTCACATAGAATACGAAAATGCAATAAATAGGGTGTCCCATTTAAAATAACGAAGTTAGTTCGACTTCCGGTATAACCGGAAGTGCTGCAGAGTTGTATTCGCCCCAGGGACATTACCATGTTGCCAAAATTTTCAAATTTGGAGCAGACTTTCCTAGATATCGATCGACGCAGTTCCCGGTGGGACACCCTGTATACCTGATATTTAATCTAAAGTTTCATATTAATTTTGAGGCCCTGTGTAAAAATTAATTTAGTACGCCCTACACATTATTTAGTAAATACTTTTTAAAACATGCAATTAAAACATGTTTTATATTAGTATGAGTAAATTGCACGCAATTGCCGCGTTTAGTAAGTGATAAAATAACTTTTATTAGTACGTAGCGGTTGTGAGACCGAGAGTGGGGCGTTGAATATCCGAATATTGATTATTCGAACCCGATTGGTCGGTCCGGACAAACGAACACCGACGACGGATTAACGAAAGTTTCCTCTCACATTGTGGAACAGTGCGTGCGGTGACCTTGTTGACGTTATACGTGTTCATTCTATGTTTCATATCTTTCGTAGCTATTTTAATACTGTGTACGTATTGACTTTAATACAACTTATGCGTTGTTGGAATTACGATGAAACCTGCAACGAAAAGAAAACATAAAGTGTTATCGATTGAGGATAAAGTGAGGATTATTAAGAGACTCGAAAATGGCGAAAGCGGCGTATCACTTGCTAGGATTTATAATATTGGTAAAGCAACCATATCCGACATAAAGGCAAAGAAAGAAGAAGTTTTAAATTTTGCTTCCATTTTAAACAATACGGGTGGTTCTAAAGGAAGGAAAACTATGAAAAAAGCTAATTGTGAGAAATTAGAAGACGCCCTATATTTATGGTTTATACAAAAGCGGGAGCAAGACGAATACGTTTCTGGACCTCTATTGTGTAAAAAAGCGTTACAGTTAAATAAAGAACTTGCGGGACCACCAGAATTTAAAGCTAGTTCGGGATGGTTGAAGAATTTTAAATGTCGTCACGGCATAAAGTTCGCTAACCAAGGAGAAAGAGTGGCTCCCAATTTTCTTAAGGAAATTATGAAGGAAGGAAGTTTTTCCGAAGACGATGTGTACCAAGCAGATCAGACCAACCTATACTGGAAGGCGCTTCCACGAAAATTTCTAGCATCCCGAATGGGTAGGGGCTATAACTTTACAGTAAGCCAGCAACGTATTATTCTAATGTTCTGTGCAAATGTAAGTGGGCAGCATATTTTACCATTACTTGTGATCGGAAAATTTGAAACCCTAAAAAATTTGGAAGGAGTAACTTCCCCATCACTAGAATATAGAGCACAGAAGAATGCTGATATGGATGCTGACATTTTTTTGGATTGGTTCAGAGACTCCTTTATTCCAAACGTAAAAAATAGACGACTAATTGAAGGTAGAACTAATAAAGTGCTACTTCTTATTGACGATGTGCCAGTTCGTCCTCTTTTAGAACAACTGAATGCTGTTGACGATAATTTCATTGTCAAGGTTTTACCATCAGAAGATGTTTCATCCCTCCAGCCACTGAGGTACGATGTCTTACAAGAACTGAGTACGATGTATAAAAGCCAGTTTTTGCAGCAACTACTAGACAAAGATGAAGACAGTATAATTGAATTTTTAACAAAATTCTCACTAACGGATTGTTGTTATATGTTAGCAGATGCCTGGACTATTTTATCAAACGGGATTACACCTGAGCAGGATCTGGATAAGGTCTTACTTGAAACTGTAACTTTATTTCAAAAGATCCCTGGGTTTTCCGAATGTGGGCAAGATGATGCAATGGCGTGGCTCTATGATCACGACATTTTAGATGAAGAGGAAATTGTTGCTGCCCAGTATCAAGAACATGCCGTCGTTAAGCGAGAAGGTTCTGATAGCGAAGAACAAGAAGAAACCGGAAGTGGGCCTACTCACGTGGAGGCTTTCACGGCCCTTGAAACTACATTGGCGTGGTGTAAGCGACAGCCAGAATTCAGTTCTTCCGAAATATTAGTTCTGAAAAAAATAAGAGATGTGGCTGCGATGAAAATACAGTCGTCTTAATTTGAAATAAAGTATAGGTAGATTATTTTGTATTTATTTATTTTACTATTGAAATTAGAAAATATAAAATTCATATTTACATAACGTTCTACCTCCCTCGTATTTTTAAAAAATTTCCAAAAACTTATATTTATCTAAAGACAAAAAAGTTAATGGGAGATACATACAGTGTTTGTTAGTACAAAGTACTTTATTATTTATCACGTACATTTTCAGTTTTGAACACATTGTAGTACCCCTGCATTCAATTTTAAGCTTAATTATGGTAAATTAGTTACATTCACATATGTTTAATTATCCGAACCATTTACTTAACCGAACTACCTTGGACTCAATTGGATCCGGTTAGTATTAACAAATTCCTTACAGACTTAACTTAGTGAAACAGATACCTATATGATTGAAACTTAAAACCACCGCACTTTAAACATATGGAAAAAATAAAGTACGTAGGTAGTATTAAAAATATATTACAGTATCATTCTTATTAGTTAACTCATTGCTTTTTAGATAAAGAATTTGTGTAGCAAATATAATTTTAAATGTAATGCAATAGTTAAGAATAAAAAACATTGGCGTAGAAAATTTAAATTTTCTTGGGGTAGTAAGAAACATATTTCTTCTGAAATTTTCGCACATCTCATGATTGATTATATTTAAAATTGTATTTGTAAGAACAAATTCCTAACATTTTGTAAAAAAAAAAAATATATTTGGAATTATTTCCGATTTATTGAAAAGTGAAATAAGTTCATTTTAGAATAGTCCAATTAAATGGGCCTTTAAATCACTGTTTGGTCAACTTGCCTGAATTTTTTATATGTTAGTTTGAGGTAAGTATATAATAACAATAAGTGACAGTAATATTTTTGTCAACCCCCTGTCAGGGGTGAAAAAAGATTAAATAAAGGGTGTTTTCAAGATAATTCAAAAGGGGTAAGAGCTAGAAAAAGTAGTTTCTTATAAAAGTTGTAGAGCATAAGATTTTACATAAAAATAGTCTATTAACTTTTTCTTGTACTATTAAAATTAACAGAGTTAGGGAGACTAGAAGTTAAGGAATGATTTCAAAAAATTAAAAAATCATAACAAGCAGAAAGATGAATGAATTTTATATATGTATTTTTTTCAATCTAAAAATTTAAACTTTCGTTTCAGAGAAATAGATATTTTTTTCATTTTATTAAAAAAGTTATAACAATTTCAATTTTTTAATCGTTAATTTTTATAATTTAACACTAAAACTATTTTTTTCTATGCCATTCTATTGATTATTTAAAATAATCAAAAGTTGCTTTCGAAATTTTGTTTTACGACAAAGACAAAAAATCACGTTCACTTTGTGAAATTGTTATTGTAACTTTTTTATTACATATTAAAAAATATATATATTTTTCTAAAAAGATAGTTTACACTTTTTACAGTAGATTGAAAATAAAATAAAATAAAATTCATTCATTTTTTTGCTTGTTATGATTTTTTAAATTTCTGAAATCATCCCTTAACTACTAATTTCCCTCTGTTATTTTTATGTAGAATTTTATGCTCTACAACTTTTACAGGAAACTTTTTTCTCTGGCTCTTACCACTTTTGAGTTATCTTAAAAAACCCCTTTATTTAATTTTTTTTCACCCCTGGCCGGAGGTTGAAAAAAAATTACTGTCACTTATTGTTATTATATACCTCAAACTAACTTATATCAAAAATTCAGGCAAGTTGACTAACATTGCGATTAAAAGGCGCCGTATTCTTGAAATGGGGTATTCCATAAACGTAAATAATTTCAAATATTTAATAATTGAATAATCTAAAGCTTATCAAATAATAGGAATGTTATGTCGTGCCATCTGAGTATTTTCAAAGACGCCGCAGTAAAATGAATAAACAGGTACAAAAAACGATGAAACCATCAAGGTTTTAGGTACTGAAATCTACGAAAATACTAACTTTTTTAGATACAACTCCACATGTTAACATTCTTATAACATTTACTTGCTTAGTCCTACATATAAATTTGTTTATTTTTATTTGTAAGTACGTGAAAATAATTCTTAAAATGTGGGATTAGGATAATAGCAAACGCATGTTTTACAAACGCTTTTCAAGATTGCAGTACCTAAAAATGCCAGAAATTTGACTATTTCTCGGCCAGGGATGTGGTCACCTTAAAGGCCCATTTAATTGGACTAATAAAAAATAACTCGGAAATGATTTGTTTTTCCAGTAAAATGGAAGATAATTTTTCTTTGAAATGCAATTGGACATCAACTGAACTTACAAAATATTCAATGCCGTCGAAATTCTAACATTCTTAATAACAATGTCTCCCATATCTCTAGCACTAGTTGCACAAAAGTTATAGCATTTTATTATTCTTGACTGTTTTAAATTCTTTAAAAAACTTTAAATCATCTGCATTAAGGAGACACTCTGAAGAAGTTATTGGTGAAAGAACATTTATGTAGATTAAAAACAGCAAGGGACCAAGATTAGATCCCAGTGGTACACCTGATCTTGCCAAAAACAAATGTGAGTTACCATAATAATTTACATACTGCATGATTTGTTTGTTGAAGATATGAAATAAATAAATGTAATGTTCGATTGGTATTAGTGATACCATAAGAAATTAATTTCGCAAGTCGAAACTAATTTCGCAAGTGTCCACCTGAAATCCTTCCTCAAAAGATAATCTTACTTTATTAACAAACGTGACCAGATCGCAGCTTACAGAACCCATGCTATTCTTTACGAATTTGTACTTTTAAATGTAAATACATCTTTCTTTATATAGAATAAATTCATAAAGCTTTGTTATTTATAACTGCTATAGGTCTATAATTTGCTACAACATTACCATCACCCTTTTTATAAATAAAAAGGGATTAATTTTATTTCTTTAGAGCGTGGTGGAAAAAAGACGAATTAATTGACTTCTAAATTATTATAAGCAATGGATATATTAGATAATAATTTTTACATGCGTTAAAAATATGATGACATGGTATACCATCAGATCCGGCAGTGTTTCGACTTAAGTTTTTTAAAAGCTTGTTCCATTTCATTTAATGTAATATTAGTAAAAGGCAAAACGCAGAGAAGTTTTATATACAGTAGGTATGTCCGCGGATTGAGTTTACAAGAAGATAAATGGATCAAAAAGTGAAAGATACAAAAAAAAGGCATTCTTGATAAAAGTTTTTGCTTGTTTAGAAAATACGAATCACAATGACGAACTTCAATTTTGTTGTACAGGGTGGGTCAAAAACATAAAAATGCTATTTTGCATAAGAGTAAACATACCTTATTTTGCAAGATATGAAAAAAAGGCATTCTTGATCAAAGTTTTTGCTTATTTATAAAATGCGAATCACCATAACGAACTTCAATTTTGTTGTACAGGGTGGATCAAAAACACAAAAATGTTATTTAGCGTAAGAGTAAACATACTATATTTTACAAGATACGAAAAATAGGTATTCTTGATAAAAGTTCAAAAATAAATAACGGTCATGTTATCAAAAATTTAGTCTTTTATACAGGGAAAAGAGTACCTACAAACCTAAAATACGTCTTATTCAAATGTAATTTTTAAATAATACGAACATAATTACAACAACAATTAAGCTAAAAAAAAGTAAACAAAGCGATATGATGATATCAAATTTTAAAAACACCACCCCCATATTGAACACATTTTTCTAATTGCTTCCCTAGATATAACAAGGAATTTCTGATTTCTTAATAAAAATAACAATTTTGTGTTTTTGAAAGTATGTGTTTCTATGCAGGTTTTGTTTTGTTTGTCTTACAACATTCCAAAAAATATTGGGGGAGATAAACTCTTCTCAATGTTTTTATGTCAAAATATTCTCGATAAGGTTTATTTTTTATTACATTATGTAAATCTCTATAACTATTTAAATAACAAGGTGACATATTTTTCCTTTCCATAATAATCTTTTTCTCCTAACAGTCTCTTTATTTCGTCAATGAACCAGGAAGAATAGCTCCTACGACTTTTATTAGTACTTACTTTAAATTTTGATGCACAAACGTCAATACCATTCTCACAAGGGATATTGGAATTTGCAAGTACAAGTGAAGACGTATCAATGTCAATTTCATTGGCAATTAGTGTAAACAAGTCAACATTATCTCTATACAGTTGTGTATGTGACATGTGACTGCGTGGTCTAAAATACGTAGAATTAATAAAAATATTCCTGCCTTCAAGTAATTTGCTGGTTTAGTATTAACAGCATGTGTGAAATTAATTAATAAATTTTATACTATATCTGAAACTTATGTGGTAATGTAGAGTAATATAAATAACTAAATAATATGGTGACAAAGCCCTGGGCACCCTACTTTGTCAAGGAGTAGGTAGGTACTCTTGTATTCACTTAGCGTATAATACAGAAAGGGTTCAAGGCAGAGACAGCTTAATCTTAATTTCGTGCTCGTTTATTTCACCCAAAAAATAATTTTCCGCCTCGCATCTCTCGTAGTTTTCCTCTGCCTTGGTTTAGGAGAGAAACAAATATATTCATTACATTACGGAATTAAATAACTTGAGAGTAATAATTCCGTTATTTCACAATAAGTGGTTGGTAGTGGGTACTGGTATTAGTTTGTAAATCCTCGAAACATGTACATACATGTGAATTGATCATATCACATTTTGTACCGTATTTTTTTTAACGGTGAAGAATATAGTGTGACATTTGTTTTGAGAGAAGTTGAAGTTATTTGTCTAATGTTGACAATCCAAAATGTAGAACAATAGTTTCAAAATATTTAAAAAAATAAAGTGTTAGAAATGAACAACAGATTTCTATAATTCACGAAACGGAGATTGCCACCGAGGCAAATTCTAAGTGACTTCTCTTCATGAGATCTTAAACACTTAGCTTGTGTAACTCAATTTCTTCGACCCATACTATCGAGTTTGAGACACCCTCTACTTACAAATACAGAGAGATCGAGAATGATTGACCGGTTT